AAAAAAGGTGGATGTGTTGGGAGCCATGGAATTGATCAAATGTGTGTAGGTGGAACTAGACCTCAGTGCCTAAAGCAAACAAGCTACCTCAGACCTGAAATAAACATTCTGTCTGGTAAAGTCAGCTATTAGTCACTAGGAAACCTTGTGTCACATGTTACTAACTCCGTAAAAGTATAAATAAAATACACTTTGTTGTGGAAAAAAAATGTATGTATACACAAGATAGGATAGATATATACCTACTTTCTCAGTTCATTGAGAAGAAAGGTTTGTACTATTATTTAGACAAGATATCATGTCTACATCTTGTCCTCTGAATAACTACTATGAAGTCAACAAATGGCGGTGTATTATTGTAACTGTCCTACTAACCCATTTTGAAACTTTTTCATAGCTATTTTATCTTTTTTTCTCATTAAAATGAATTAAAAAAAGATTGGGGAAATAATTGAATATTGATATTTCCTTTCAAGAAATCTTTTTTTTCCTTGACTTTTTAAAATTTTTTTAAAGAGAGTAAAGACATTAAAAATAGTACACATTTAGAAGACCAAGATGAGAGATATTCAACCATGGGTTTTATATGGTGGTGGATTTAGAACATGATGAATATTTATTGGAATATAACTTTGGTTAGCTTTGAAAAAAATAATTTCATTGTATGGTTAGGGAGTAGCTTATAAAATTGAAGGAAAGGCCAGAAAATAATGAGCATAAAAGGAAAAAAATGCTTCAAAATGCTGGTAGCTGAGATTTCAGTTAAAATTATGCTTCAAAACAAGTTATGCTGGGGCTGGGGAGATGGCTCAGTGGAATAAGCGCTTCCCTGGCAAGTGCAAGGGCCTGAGTTCAATCCCCGGTTCCGCAAAAAAATAATAAAATTAAAATAAAATAAAATAAAATAAAATAAAATAAAATAAACATATATATATACATATATATAAACAAGTTATGCTACTGGCTAGGATCCTATTTTGATCTTATACTGTGACAACTGCTAGAAAACATTGCACTACTAGATAGCACAACTATGCATGAATTCTAAACTTTGGGCTAGTTACTGTACAATCTATTTACAATTCAACAATTTGGACAGAAGCATAGAATTGGCAAGCTATATACCCTAGAAATGAGGTTGGAAGAAGGAAGCTATCTTAGAGTGTGGGAGGAATGGGAAGTGGGAACAGAGTATCAATGTAATACTGAGGTTAAGATGAGGGCAAGAATGTCTGTTGTGCTACTGCATATAGGGTGACCATAGACAGTAACGTACTACTGTACATTTTGAAACATTAGAAGAAAGGATTGTGAACAACTTTGCCATGAAGAAATGTTTGAGGGCCAGTCAAACAGCTCAGCAGATTAAAGCACCTGTAAGCAGGCACAGAGGCCCGGGGCTTTGATTCCCAGGCCTGCCAGCCAGCCCCGCCCCTGGGGCGCACTGAGACAACAATTGAGATTGGTAGTAGTAGCACACAGCCTGTAATCCCAGCTCTTGGGAGGCTGTAAAGAGGCAGATCACTATGAGTCTGATCTAGCAGTGAGACCCTGAACACCCTGTAGACCCTTCCCTAAAATACCAAA